ACTAAATTTGGTATTGGGTGAAGGAGTAGAGCTGAAATCCTGCAATTTGATATAGATGTCACTGTTGGTGGCTGTGGTTGGGAGAAGGAGCTGGTTTAAGATAAACGTACTATATTTTCACTAAATGGTACTAAATTTGGTAATGGGGGAAATTAAAGAACTTAAATCCTGAAATTTGATATTAAGGTCACTGTTGGTATGTGAAGTTTAGATTTGGGGATGGTTTTTCAAATGTGTACTAAAATTATACGAAAAGTACTAAATGTTACTGAACTTGTTAATGAGTGAATGTATCGATCTGGAATCCCGAAATTTGGTATTAATGGAAAAGCACTAAATTAGGTATCGGGTAGAGCTGAAATCCTAAAATTGCATATTAATGTCATTGTTGGTGTCTGTGGTTACGATGTGGAGGTGGTTCTGGAAATGTGTACCAAAATTATTGTAAAAGTACCAAATGGGATTCAATTGGGTATTGGGAGAGGGTATAGAGCTGAAATAACGAAACTTGATATTGAGGTCTCTGTTTTCCAGGGCTATTAGTCAATCTCTTAAATATTTTAGGACAACAGGTCTATGGATGCATTTTTATGAAATTTCTGATTAGCGAGTTGACCATTCGTTTTAAGGGTTTCGGAAAGATCCAATCCTCATCATTTTCGTTCGTTTTTGTCTGAGCACATTCTCCCCAGGAATTATTTCAAAATAATTGCTATGACAAACTTTGTTTGTTACCCAAGTGACGAGATTGTAAGCTCAATAGAAGAGGATTGAATTGAATTAAACTAAAATTCTTTGGGCATTTTTCCAAATTTTAAAAACGCATTTATAAACATTTTCATCTCTCACCAAGGGTCATCAAACGAAAAAAAAAAATGATTTAAAAAAGAACGTTATTTTACCTCCTGTAATTGTACCATGGTTCGTAGTATTTATGTCAGATTTGGATCCGGCAAGACCCACACAAATAACAACCCTCAAGAAATGCGAAATGCTTATCTTATTTACCTTAAACCTCGAACATTCAAATGTGAAGATTATCGTCTTAAACGAATTATTAGGACATGTTCCGACCAATAAGACATTTTTATACCCTCCACCATTCTATGGAGGGTATATAACCCTTGTCATTCCTTTGTAACTCCTCGAAATATTCGTGATAAACCCTACAAAGTATATATATATTCTGGATCAGCGTAAAAAGACGATTTACTGAAGTTCGTCCGATAGTCTGTTGTAATAACGCTATTTTGCGAACGAATTGAGATAGAAGGCTAAAATTTTGCATACATGCATATTTTACCAGCAGGCAGGTTAAGATAGTAAATGGGCCATGTCGGTTCACGTTTTCGTATAGCCACCATATAACGTTACCCCCCGATATTCGGTATTTTCACGACATTATTTACCGGAATTATTTTCGTATTTCGTATTTGAAGTTCGTAATGAATTCTACAGCCTATGACGGAAAATTGTCTGTGCAGGTCCACGTTCTATAACCCCCATGGTACCTGCCTATATTCGGTATTTTGATGATTTTAGTTAAATTATAAACAGATTTTTTTTCAAGTTTCGCATTTGAATATTGTAATAGCTTGTGACAAAAGTTGCCTATGCAGGACCACGTCGTCGTACAGACCCTAATATAAGGTTACATTCGGTATTTTTAAGATTTTAACAGAATTTTTAACGGATTTTATTTTTTTGAAAATTGTTAAATTTGTACCAAATTGTGGAGGGTATCCAAAGTTCGGCCCGGCCAAACTTACACCTTTTTCACTTGGTTGTTTTGTTTTTTTTTTTAATATTTAAGGATATTTTAAAAGCCAATGATAATTTTCTAGGGATTTTTTTCAAGAACCGGGAAAAGATCACATAACCAAAAATACGAAGGAAAACTTAAGAAAGTCTATCTGAAATATAGAAATTTATGTCTATCAAGAATATCCAATTCATAAAATCTTCGACGAATATTTCGAAGCATTACGAAGGGATTGACAATAGGGTAAGTGTGCCTAAGTTCGGCATGTCCCAGTAGTCGGCACTTTTTATTTTTAAGCCCAAATAAATGAAACTATTATAACTAAATGTATTTTGTTTACTTCAAATATATTGTCAGCTATCTTTGTGCACAATTTCGCTAAGAAAAGATGAATTATTCTAATAAAAATTAATTTTTTGTCTGTGAAGGTCCTCAACAATCCATATTCTTAAGAAAAGTACAATAAAGACGTCGAATCAGTTTAACTAAACAAAAATATTATATTTTAATGAATTAATTTATTATTATTATTAATTAATCTTACAAAAAAATTGGTATGCCGACTGTTGGAAAATGCCATACCGACAATTGGCAAGTGGTGCCGACTACTGGCAAAAAAGCATTGTTTTAATAAAACTACAAATTTAAGAAATTTAATAAAAAGTTATTAAAACTTTAATTATTATTGCAAAAACTATACAAAATTTCGAATCTGAATAAATTAACTTTGTAATAATTGAAATGTTCCACTCAGAATGGTGAGCGATTAAAAACGCGAAAATCCTAAAAATGCCGACTACTGGTACACTTACCCTATTTATCTAATCTTCAATTTATGGAGAGTTAGAAAAGTTCAATAATCCTGGTTTTCCTACAAGTGACAGATCGTGATTTGTATTTCTTAATATTAGTGGGGTTTTAATGGTAGATTCATCTTTGGCCCTTTAAGTCCTTCAGCAGATAATTTAAATATCAAAAAATGTTGGTTTTTTTTAAGAAGTCTAATGAAGTATTTAACTTTTTGTGAATAATATTTTTATACCCTACAACACTATGTGTTGGGGGTATTATAAGTTTGATTGGGCCAAAAATTATGTAACACCTCGAAATATTGGTTTCCCACATAGGAAAGTATATATGGATCTTCCTAGCTCGCCGAGCTGAGTCGATCTAGCTATGTATGTCCGTCCGTCCGTCTGTCCGTCTGTCCATGTTAATTTGTAATCACTCTACAGGTCGCAATTATGGCCCGATCTTCACGAAATTTAGAATGTAGGTGGGGCTTGGACCAGAATAGAACCCTATTGCTTTTGGAGATGATCGCCAAATGTTTAGGGGTTGAAATGGACCAAATACTGAAAAAATGTCGGATTTTGCAGTAGTTATACAGGTCGCAATTATAGACCAATCGACGCGGAATTTCGTATGTAGCTAGAGTTTAGGGCGGGGAAGAAGCCTACCAATTTGGGTGGTCATCGGATAATATTTAGCGGGTAAAATAGACCATATATTTTGTGTTGAAAAAATTCAAATTTTTTCATTAAACCGCGAATATTTTAAATCCCGGCGAAATCACAAAGCCATGACAGGGTTACTTCTCATCTTTACATTGATGTTAACATCCAACAAATCGGATATATAGCAAAATATATGCGATATATATGTCTATCAAAGGAGGTATGCTTGAAAGATCTCTTATATGTCGAGAACGGTTGAACTGATTTCGACAGTTCTCATTAATTCAGAATGGCCTCTTGGCAGGAAAGAAACAACGTCTAAAAAATCGCATAAAAATATCTCTCTAAAGATGAAAATATTGATTTTGTAACATTTTCTTATATTTTTTTCAATTTTGTCACATTTTTGGCATATTTTAATTTTGAATAAACATTTGGTAATATTTCTACAGCTAACAAAACTAAGTAGTTAGGATATCAGGATATCATATACAGATCTCATTTATGGCCCGATCCTTACGAAATTTTGCATGGGGATTAGATGAGGGTCAGAATAGAAGCCTACACTTTTTGGAGATTATCGCCATATATTTAGGGGTTGAAATGGACCAAAAAACTGCAAAATTGTCGGCAGGTCGTAATTATCGCCCGATCCTCACGCACATTTGAATGGGGGTTACCGCACATTGCAAAAGCCAAGCAGTTTTGGATGGCCATCCAAAAATATTCAATGTGTGAAGGTGTTTGCCAACTTTTGTAGACAAAATACGAAAATGTCCATTCCAGTGACTTTTTGGAGAATTCCCAAATACAGGAAAGACGCACTTCTGACTATTTCGTTAACGCTGATTTCGTTGAAGAATATAGTCAAATGTCTGTATCTCATATAGATGCGTTTCAGTCAAACACCAATAATAAATGTTAATCTTCTGCCACTTCTGAGAGGTTATAGGTTTTTGGGAAATATTGGTTCCAGATCTAGGAAGGCCATTTACGTGCAACATCTACCAATAAATTGGAAATGAGCAAATTAGTTTAAGTTGCTATTATTCGAAAATTAGAGAACGAAACCTGATGGCTTTCTTTTATTATTTGTCACAATATCTTGTGGAATTCTTTATTCAACGGTCGGCCCCGCTCGACTGTAGCCTTTGCTTACTTGTTTTTTTTTTTTTAATATTTTTAGAATAGTGACCATAAGTAAATACGGAGTACTGGTCAATAAGATATAACGCTGTAAAAAATCGTCCTTTTCAGTTGCCGCAGATAGAATATCTCCATTACCAAACTTCAATGGTTTGAGGGGCATCTAAAATTCGCTTTTGCACAAATAAATACCAAAGTTATATTTTGTCGATTTTTACACAATTTATATGCAGATCCGCTTGGAAAGAAATGCATCTGCACCTTATGCTTTTATTTTTTTTTTCAACATTTTACGAATTAATTTTTTTGGGATTATTTATATATACATGATCCGTAGCCTTTGTTTTTTTTCTTGTTGTGACGAAATATTGATTTCTCTAAACAATCGATTTCCTTGTCATGTCCTTCAAAGCCGAGGAACATCCTTGGAAATCTGCAAAATGTAGATGACATTTGACCTTAACATCACAGGCACTTGCACAAACAAAGGAGGTTGAAGGTTAAATTTGCATTGGCACATGTTCAGATGCCATGATTCTTCTCCCAACCCTGGTTGGTGGCGGATGTTGCACAATTGTTTGAAATAAATCAATATTCACTATTTAATCAAGCACAACATTTACATTTTAACTCACTTTCAAACATTCTGATGCGACTCCGTATATCCGATGAGATTTGCGTACGATTCGTCATGTTGTTGCACAGAACTCCAGCACAGAACGATGCAAATGAAAGCGAAAGCGATTTGTTTTCTTTTTTCGTTTTTGATTTTATTGGTCAATCAAACTATGGAGAAACGAAATCAAATGAGGCAGAAGAACGCGTTGTTAACACGTCCGATCAATTACCGACACTAAATTAGATTGCAGCGTTTTCCACTTGTTTTTAATTGAATTTGAAAAGAGCTTGGACTCGCTGGCATTAGAACCAAACAAAATTTTCCAAAAAGCGATACTTTTTTTTTCGCCGACGTTTTGTTGTTTACGAAAAATCAATTGCAACAATAACACAAACAATTGTCCAGCCAGCCGGACGCGTGAGCACAACACAAACAGCAATAAAAACAACAACAACAATAGCAACGATACATCAAGAACAAAAATGGTCAATAACAAGCTCAAAAAACACAACAACAATAAAAACAATCAGCTGTGTTGCAATTGTTGTGGGTCGTTGGTTTCAGTTTTTATTTTTCGCCACAATTTTGGAAAAACTGGTGTTTTCCGTTTCTAGATTTTTTACGGCCTTATAAAGATTTGTATTTCGTTTTTTTTTTTTTTTTTTCATTCTCCACCAAAACACTTAGGCCAGCTCTTAACACAGATTTCGGAAAATTTCTGTTTGAAATTCTAACGTTGTTCTGTTTTTTCTGTTTTGTTTGCGGCTTGGTAAGGGCGCTATGCGAAACTATTTTGAAATTTGCCCCAAAAGCGACTCAAGAGCTATGCATTGTTTTTGATATTATTATTATTCCGGATGCAACAACAGCAACAACATCTCCATCAAAATTCTCAAAACGACAACAGCTTTGAGCCTCCGCTTGGCCAAAATTGCAGGTTACAAATTTTGCACACATCTGCGTATCCGTGTCGTTTCACTTTTTTTCTGCAGCCGTATGGAAATACTAAGAGGCAGCCAGCCAGCCACTCGGCATGGCTGTTTGTTCTACTAAGGAATGTCGAAAGTGCAACCAAATAACCAAAAATGTGGATGTGGAAGAATTCCAAGAACAACGACAACAATAGCAACTAAAAGCTGCAGCAGCAACACCACCTCTCATCGTCGGCAAAGTCACATCGAAATGTGTGTGGATGCCAAGCGACATGCGCCAGGTAGAAGGACAGTGGGTTGAAATATTAATAAAATGTGTGTGAAAAGCTTTCGAAGATTTTCTGAGCGGAGAAGAGCTTTTGAAGACTAGAAACGCTTCAGAAGATCTTAAATCTATAAAATAAAGTCTCAGAGGGTTCCCCTTGTATGGAATAGATTGGGAAGGTCTTTTAATGTATAGAAGAGCTTTTTCTATATGTATAGAGGAGCTCAAGCAGGTCTTCTATGTATAGAAGAGCTTTCGCAGCTCTCCTACACATGGAAGACCTCCTAAAGCTCTTCTATACATTAAAGACCTTCTAGAGCTCTTCTATGTGTAGAAGGAGATCATTTATTAATGGAAGAGCCCCAGGATGTGTTCTATGTATAGAAGAGCTCTAGGAGGTCTTCTATGTATAGAAGAGCTCGAGGAGGTCTTCTATGTATAGAAGAGCTCTAGGAGGTCTTCTATGTATAGAAGAGCTCTAGGAGGTCTTCTATGTATAGAAGAGCTCGAGGAGGTCTTCTATGTATAGAAGAGCTCTAGGGGGTCTTCTATGTATAAAAGAGCTCTAGGGGGTCTTCTATGTATCGAAGAGCTCTAGGAGGTCTTCTTTGTATAGAAGAGCTCTAGGAGGTCTTCTATGTATAGAAGAGCTCTAGGAGGTCTTCTTTGTATAGAAGAGCTCTAGGAGGTCTTCTATGTATAGAAGAGCTGTAGTAGGTTTTCTTTGTATAGAAGAGCTCTAGGAGGTCTTCTATGTGTAGAAGAGCTCTAGGAGGTCTTCTATGTATAGAAGAGCTGTAGGAGGTTTTCTTTGTATAGAAAAGCTTCAGAAGGTCTTCTACCCATAGAAGAGCTGTAGGAGGTTTTCTTTGTATAGAAAAGCTTCAGAAGGTCTTCTTGCCATAGAAGAGCTTCAGAAGGTCTTCTAACCATAGAAGAGCTTCAGAAGGCCTTCCAGCAATAGAAGAGCTTCAGAAGGTCTTCTAGCCATAGAACGGCTTCAGAAGGTCTTCTGGTCATAGAAGAGCTTCAGAGGTGAGGTCTTCTATGTATATAAGAGCTCTAGGAGGTCTTCTATGTATAGAAGAGCTCTAGGAGGTCTTCTATGTATAGAAGAGCTCTAGGAGGTATTCTATGTATAGAAGAGCTCTAGGAGGTCTTCTATGTATAGAAGAGCTCTAGGAGGTCTTCTATGTATAGAAGAGCTCTAGGAGGTCTTCTATGTATAGAAGAGCTCGAGGAGGTCTTCTATGTATAGAAGAGCTCGAGGAGGTCTTCTATGTATAGAAGAGCTCTAGGAGGTCTTCTATGTATAGAAGAGCTCTAGGAGGTCTTCTATGTATAGAAGAGCTCTAGGAGGTCTTCTATGTATAGAAGAGCTCTAGGAGGTCTTCTATGTATAGAAGAGCTCGAGGAGGTCTTCTATGTATAGAAGAGCTCTAGGAGGTCTTCTATGTATAGAAGAGCTCTAGGAAGTCTTCTATGTATAGAAGAGCTCGAGGAGGTCTTCTATGTATAGAAGAGCTCTAGGGGGTCTTCTATGTATAGAAGAGCTCTAGGGGGTCTTCTATGTATCGAAGAGCTCTAGGGGGTCTTCTATGTATAGAAGAGCTCTAGGAGGTCTTCTTTGTATAGAAGAGCTCTAGGAGGTCTTCTATGTATAGAAGAGCTGTAGTAGGTTTTCTTTGTATAGAAGAGCTCTAGGAGGTCTTCTATGTATAGAAGAGCTTCAGAAGGTCTTCTAGCCATAGAGCGGCTTCAGAAGGTCTTCTGGTCATAGAAGAGCTTCAGAAGGTCTTCTGGTCATAGAAGAGCTTCAGAAGGTCTTCTGGTCATAGAAGAGCTTCAGAAGGTCTTCTGGTCATAGAAGAGATTCAGAAGGTCTTCTAGTCACAGGAGAGCTTCAGAAGGTCTTCTAGTCACAGGAGAGCTTCAGAAGGTCTTCTAGTCATAGAAGAGCTTCAGAAGGTCTTCTGGTCATAGAAGGCTTCAGAAGGTCTTCTGGTCATAGACGAGCTTCAGAAGGTCTTCTAGCCATAGACGAGCTTCAAAAGGTCTTCTAGCCATAGAAGGGCTTCAGAAGGTCTTCTAGCCATAGAAGAGCTTCAGAAGGTCTTCTAGCCATAGAATAGCTTCCGAAGGTCTTCTAGCCATAGAATAGCTTCCGAAAGTCTTCTAGCCATAGAAGAGCTTCAGAAGGTCTTCTAGCCATAGAAGAGCTTCAGAAGGTCTTCTAGCCATAGAAGAGCTTCAGAAGGTCTTCTGGACATAGAAGGGCTTCAGAAGGTCTTCTAGACATAGAAGGGCTTCAGTAGGTCTTCTAGACATAGAAGGGCTTCAGTAGGTCTTCTAGCCATAGAAGAGCTTAAGAAGGTCTTCTAGCTATAGAAGAGCTTCAGCAGGTCCTCTAGCCATAGAAGAGCTTCAGCAGGTCTTCTAGCCATAGAAGAGCTTCAGAAGGTCTTCTAGCCATAGAGAGCTTCTAGCCACAGAAGAGTTTCTAGCTATAGGAGAGTATCTAGCCATAGAAGAGTTTCTAGCCATAGAAGAGCTTCAGCAGGTCTTCTATATATAAAAGAGGTTCAGCAGGTTTTCTATCTATAGAGGAGCTTCAAAAGGTCTTCTATCTACAGAAGAGCTGCAGAAAATCTTCTATATATGGAAGGGCTTCAGAAAATCGACTATGTATAGTAGAGCTTTAGAAGCTCTTTCACGTATAGAAGAGCTTAAGAAGCTATTTTGCGTAAAAGAGAGCTTTAGAAGTTCTTCTGTGTATAAAAGAGGTTTCTAAGTTCTTCTGTGTATAGAAGAGGTTAAGAAGTTCTTCTGTGTATAGAAGAGTTTTAAAAGCTCTTCTACGTATAGAATAAATTTAGAAGCTCGTCTACGTATAGAATAAATTTAGAAGCTCGTCTATGTATAGGAGAGCTTTAGAAGCTCTACAATGTATAGAAGAGCTTTAGAAGCTCTACTATGTATTTATATGTCTTCTAGGCTCACAAGACCTTATGTGATCTATATATATATAAGAAGGCTCTCTACATCTAAGGTCATTAAAAATTGTCAAAAAATAGACTATGTTACCTGTTACACATAGTGTTATAACTCTCCTTCTTCAATCCCTGATCCAATTTCCTAATTTTGAAAGCTTACCTAAAAAGAGAAAGAGAAGAAAATAAAATCATTAAAAATTGAGATCTAGAACCACAGTGCATTTCTTGCAGAATAATAACAATAACAAACAACCTTGTCAATGTTTCGTCATTTGGTCGTACTGTCGGTTGGTCGGTCAGTCGGTCGTTCGGCAGCCTCCATGGCTTGTGGTGGCAATAGAAGGCTGCTGGTTGTTATTATTGTGCAGCTTGTTGGTCTCTCTGTGGCTGCTACTTTTGTGGACTATGGCAACCAACCGACCAACCAACTAAGTGAGAAATCAATAAAACGTTGGCTGATGTGCAGAAAACTGACACACACACACTAGCAAAAGCAGATGGAAATGCATGCAATACAATACAGAACAGAATACATTGCACCTACAAAAAATAAGACTACAACAACAATAAAAATAACATCTCGAACAAAAGCCCTACAAGGTAAAACATCTAGCCAGCAAGCGAACACATCCCCAACTGCATAATCATACCAACAACTCAATCAAGAGGCCAAACAATGTTGCATTTGAACAAACATGGACAACGGGCCCTTGCATTTCTCGCGCGCTCTCTCTCTCTCTCTTCTCGTTTTCCGCGCTATATATCCTCAAGTGGAATATTTTTCCTTTCAATTTAACACAAAAAGTGGGAGGTGGGTTGCAAAAAAGTTTTCCGTACGCTCGTTTTGTAACATTACCTTATTTGGTCCTTCATCCAACCCCTGTGAAATACCCCTCCGTTGCAAATAACACGTGTGAGCTGTAGTCCTCAAACTGTGTGGGCTGAATATCTGGGTGGTATTATGCAAAAATATACAACTATCATTGCCAGATTATCGTTTTATGCACTGAGACATTTTATAGACAATATTCAAATGCGAAACTTGAAAAAAAATCTATTTATAGTGTAGCTAAAATCATGAAAATACCGAATATAGGGAGGTACTATGGTGGTTATAAAACGTGGTCCCGCGCAGACAATTTCTTGGCATAGGCTGTAGTATCCATTACGAACTTTAAATACAAAGTTTGAAACAA